CCAAAACTGACTCAGTATCTCTGTAGCTTCCTTTCTCCTTTACAACAAAAGCAAGATGTAAATTTCCTCCATCACCCCAAACCACACCTCTTATTTCGATACCTCCTGTAGATAACGAACCAACATCATAAAAAAAACCTGTCGTATTTTTTCGGTGGTCATTCCCAAACCTTATTGTGATGTTGTAGAGAAGGAGAGCTCGATGTCTTAGTCTCCTTCGCATGCAAGTCCAGGTAATCATAAAGCCAATTTACAGCTCTGGAGACAATTTCCTGCTCATCCAGCTTCTTGTTGTTATAGATTATTCCTTTCTCTCCAGATAAACCATAAGATAGCTCCAAATCTCATAATTTTTTTCTCGACAAACTGGCAAAATGCCTCTTCAATCCCGTCTGTGCATGAGAGATTTTCCCCAAACATAATAATAAGTTTGACCCATTTATCAAGAAAGCCCATTTTCCTCATTACCTTCTCCAGAAAAATCTACTCCACTCTATCGTATACTTTTGTCATGTCAAGTTTAGCAGCAAAGTATTCCTCATTCCTTTTCTCATTTTCTTAAAATATTTGAAGCACTCAAAAGCCGTAATTATATTATCCATAATGAACCCGCCATGAAAAAAGACACTTCGCTCCTTCAAAATCAGGTCGCCAAGGATGCATTTAAGTCTATTAGCAAGTACATTTTCGCACCAATTTGTAACTCACCTTGAAAAGTCTGATAGGTATGAAATCCTTTGTTTAAATTGGCTTCTTAACTTTAGGGATAAGAGTTAAAACGTATGGTTCAACTCTAGTGGGAGGGAACCACTATTGGGATAATCCAGTATTGCTGTCGACACTAGTTGACCAAGGTAATCTCAGTTATGTTTAAAAAACCTAATGTGAGCCCATCAGACATGGGGGCTTTAGATGAACCCATCTACTTCAAAGCTTGCGATATATCCTCTGCAAGAAATGGTGGAATAAAGGTAGCATTCATCTCCTCTGTAATCTTAGGATGGATAACCTCGAATACACGACTTGATGTAGGTTCAAGACCACTTGTAAAAAGACTTTTGAGGTAATTAGTGATTCAGGTAGTAACTTCCTCCTGTCCCTTGTATATTTTTCCCTTCTCCATCATGATTTCATGAATTGTGTTTCATTTCCTCGTTGTGGCTTTTTTTTTTTTACGGGTAACCTGTAATATTATAAATCAACTCGCACTGTTTACATCATCCAAACATAGTTGGTCAACGACGAACACAGGCGGCCTATCTAGCCAGACCTCACGACAATCCCAGCGTGTCTCACTATGGGCCATAATGTGTGCTGCGTTGTTCGCTTGCCTTCTAATATGTCGTACATGCATCACGTCTGACCCGCTATCCCGAAGGTAACTCACTGTTCGACGACATATCAGTCCCACCTCGGTATGGATCCCGTCCGCTGCCTGAAACTTTTCGATCAACGACAAGCAGTCGACTTCAAGCTCCGGCCGCGGTAGTTCCAGCTGGCGCGCGAGCTGGGCCCCCATCTCCGCCGCAAGGGCTTCAGCCATCTCGACTCCAATCGCCCCACAAACCTTCTTTGCCGCTGCCGCTACAAAATGACCCAGGTGATTGCGAATGAAAACTCCCAGTCCCACCCCTTCGTTTGCGATTAACCCGGCATCTGAGTTGATTTTGATCCAGCCTTCCCGCGGTCTCCTCCATTTCTCCTCAGTTTGAAAACTGTCTTCCTCGAGGTTGTTGCGTTGGTTCTGCTGGTATTCGTCAAGGATAGTCAATGCACGAGGTAGTATCTCGTCCTCCGGCCATTTCTGCCCATTAAACAGCTGCGCATTCCTTTCCTTCCAGAGAGCCCATAATACCATTGTCCATTTCTCCATCGTTTCCCGATCTTGGTCCTGCATAGTTTTTGCCACCCGCTCCATGCAGCTTACCAAACCAGACATGTCGAACAGATGCGCCCATGGCGATTTCCTCCATAGCCTACTGCCCCAGCCGCATTCGAAAAATAGATGGCGCTGTGTCTCCTTCTGGTTGCAGAAAGGGCAGGTGTCGCTCCACCGATCACTTTTGCCGGCCACCTTTATCCCTGTCGGTAGCACTTCCCTGGTGAATTTCCACATGAAATGACGTACCTTAGGAGGGATATTCAGGCTCCAGATTGTCTTCCACAGCGCTGGTTCCCCTTGCAGCAATGTTCTCCTTCCTCTTGAAGTCTTCTAGCCATATCCTGTATCCCACCTTAACAATAAAATTGCCCGAGTCACTGTGTTTCCACACCAGCCTGTCTTGTTCTTCACTACCTCGCAAAGGAATTGATAGTATAGTCTGAGCTATGGACGATGGAAAGCAGCTATGGATCAATGCTTGGTTCCACTCCTCCATATCTGGGTCAATTAACTCTCGGACTACCAAGTCCACTGGCAGCCCTCTAGGTGCCGACGTAACGTAGGATATTTCATCATTTGGGAGCCAATTATCTCCCCAAATACGTACCTGTGATCCATTTCCCACCCGCCACCGTAGGCCACTGCATAAAAACTCCTGGGAGCTCATCAAACTCCTCCAAACAAAGCTGGGTCGGCCGCCCACTCTCGCCTCCAATATGGAAGTGCGTCTATGATATTTCGCTTTTAGTACCTGTGCCACCAGGGAATCCTGTCTTTGAGCAATGGACCACAGCTGTTTCGCCAGAAGTACAGTATTGAATCCACGAAGATCGCGAAACCCCAGGCCTCCATCTTCTTTCAACGTAACCAGCTCCTCTCTTCTCAACCAGTGTGCTCGTCTCTCCGTACCCCTTTGTCCCCAGAAGAAATTGGTGATAAGGCTGTGGACTTCATCAATAATTCCCTCCGGTATTCTGAACACAGACATTGCGTACATCAGCTGCGCCTAAGCCACGGATTTGATAAGGACCTCTCGAGCTGCCACCGACATGGTACGTTCTTTCCACCCTTTCAACTTCAGTCGTACCCGCTCCTTCAGTCCCACGAACACCTCCTTCTTTGATCGGCCTACCTCAGTAGTCAGGCCAAGATACTTGTCATGCTTTTCCACGATCTTCATGCCCAGCGTGCCACCAACTGTGAGTTTATTATGTGGCTTGACATTTGATGAGAAGGAGACCTCCGATTTTTGAAAGTTCACGAGCTGGCCGGACTCCCTCTCGTAATCCCGTAGGATCTCCTTCAACTCCAGGCATTCTCTCTGCGTAGCCCTAGCAAAAAAGACACAATCGTCAGCGAAAAAGAGATGGGTAATCACCGGGGCTCCTCGAGCCACCTGCAGTCCATGCAGCCTCTGCTCTAGTACTGCTTTGGCTGTATAGTCTGATAACCCTTCCGCACATAGCAGGAACAGGTAAGGTGACAGCGGATCGCCCTGCCGAATCCCTCTACTAGGTGTAAAGGGTTCGGATATGTGCCCATTTACTAGCACTGAGTACGTCACTGAGGTTACTCCCATCATAACCAGTCCAATCCATCGATCAGCAAACCCCATTCGCCTCATCACCCCCTCCAGAAAACGCCATTCCACCCTATCGTACGCTTTCGCCATATCGATTTTCGCTGCAAAATGTCCAATCTTCCTCTTCTGACTTTGTTTCAAGGCACCCCATATTTCTTCTCGCTGAAATGGCCGCAAGAGTTCTTCATTATCCGCCTGGTTAATCCGCTTCTCAATAGACTCCAGCACTGGCCATGAATCGGGGGCCTCACTCGCTGTGAACAGGGTCGTAAAGTGTTTGACCATGCACGAGGTAACTGCATCCTGTCCCACAAACCACCTGCCCGCCGAATTTCTGATTTTTTTGATTGTGTTTCTCTTTCGTCTGGATGTAGCTTTCTTATGAAAGAAAGGAGTGTTCTTATCCCCTTCTTTTAACCACTCCACTCTGGACCGTTTCTTCCAATAGGTTTCCTCACTATCCAGGATGTCAGCCATCTCCCCTTCTAGCTTCTTAATCTGCTCGAGGACCCCCTCCGTTTTGACCAATCTCTCGAGAGCTCGGAGACCGCGGCGGACTCGATCTTTCTGTTTATTAAAGTTCGGGAACGTTTCTCGGCTCCAACCTTCCAGGTCGGTTCGGCATTGGGCGAATCGAGTGAGCACATCGGTCGGGCCTACCTTATGCCATGCCTCCTCCACAACTTTCGGGCAGTCTTTATGCTTAGTCCAATGTGGCTCAAAACGAAAGGACCATCCCCATTTCATATCACCATCGTCATCCCCTCTCGTTTCGCAGTATACTGGCCTGTGATCCGAGCTCGCCCTGTCTCCATGTGTGACTCGGCCATTGGGAAAAACTTGTCTCCATCCTTCATTTGCTAGAAATCTATCCAGCCGTTCTTCAATAAACCCGCCTCTATTCCTCTTATTCTCCCACGTATACGGGTAACCTTGGAAACCCAAGTCCTGCAACCCTGTGTCAGTGATGCAATCTCCAAACCTACTCATCTCCAGTTCGTGGGCCTGTCTCCCCCCTGATTTTTCCTCTGTCGAAAGTACTTGGTTAAAATCCCCTCCACATAGCCATGGACCATTCCATTGCCCGCCAAGTGTACTAAGGAGGTCCCACGTCCGCCATTTGTCCCCATTCTCTGGCCAGCCATATATTCCATCCACCGCCCTTCCTTCTCTTCGTCAATCGCTACGTCAATGAAATGAAGATCATGATTCATCCGCGTGATAGTGACCTCCTCTGTCCACCAGAGACTCACACCACCAGCTCGGTTCCTGCTCGAGATTGTTGCAGGCCAGCACACTCCATTCTTGAAACCACACGTCTCGCGTAACATTTCGTTCTCAGCCTCTGTCTGTTTAGTTTCCATGAGGAAAACCGCATGGGGGGATGATCTGCGCAAAAGCGCTTTTAAGGCAGATACTGACCGCGTATTCCCCAACCCGCGGCAGTTGTAGCTAATTAGCTTCATTTATTCTTCAAAGGGGATAGGCTCCCCGCGCCTTCAGTTGTCTTCCCATTCCCATTCTTTGTCCCTTTACCCTGGCCTATGATCTTTTTCGGCGTCCCCCCCAATGGTATAGGATTGCCTGACTTCTTTGCTTCCTCATTTACCAAGTTCACCGAAACCGTCTGTTTGTTCTTCCCACCCCTCGCCGATAATTGATTCTTCTGGTCACCCGATCCCTTCTCCTGTATTTTGTGTCCAAGCTTCACTGAGTTTCCGCCCTCGTTACCACCAGCTTGTGTTTTATCCTGTGTTTTGTGTCCATTGTTATTCTTCTTTGCTTCATTTCCTGGTCCGTTCCTCTTTCCTTGTTTGCGTATCTCGGCCTCTCCCTGATTGTCAGTCCTCGGCTGCTCATTATCCTCATTCACCTGGCAATCTTCCATGCTCACCCTCTCTTCATTCTTTTCCTTCTCAGCTAACTCCTCGAAACGGTTTTTTGTATATGTACCCTCCGACTTTCCTCCCCGTCCCTCCTGCCGTCCCTGGTGTCGGTTTCGCGGTTTGACCTTCATCCACTCCCCATAGGTTCGCCCCTGGGACGGGTCTACATTCACATTCATGTCATCTTCTTTATTTCCCTCCGTCTCCATTCCCAGACCTGTTGGGACACAATGGCACTTGCCCGCTTTCTTCCCATATGTGCCACAGTCTGTACATAGGTCATCTAGTCCCTCGTATTGGACCAGGTACGTCACCCCTTCAATCTTGAATTTGGAAATAAGTGGTTGGGTTAGGTTTACTTCAATACATACCCGAGCATATTTGCCCCTAGCTCCAAGTTCTGTTGCTCGATCCACTTGGACTGGTTTGCCCAACCACTCCCCGATCTTCATGACCGCTTCCTTATTGATGAATTCGATGGGTAACTCCGGTAGCTGTGCCCAAACCATTGTCGATGTCACCTCTGTCTTCCATGGATTAAAGCCTTTGAACCATCGGTGAACCGTCAAGTATGTGTCACCCAGTAGCCAGGGGCCACCCATCGTCGCGCCCTCATAATCCTTATGACTTCTAAACCGAACCAGGAAACACCCATTTTTCATATCCGAGATTTGTATCTAACCATTTCGTGCCCATAAGAAATTAAGACGTCGTGCTAGCGGTATATACGACACTCGTCGCCCTAGTCCTTTTACCACCAACGCGGATCGCCATTCCCTCCTCCAGTGTATTTTCTCAGCCGCCGTGAATGGGATCGTCGGGCAGGTTGGGTCCTCTTCTACGTCGTCTACTTCGTCATCCATCTCTTTTTCTCTAAGTGCCACATCCTCCGAGTCCGACTCAGCTATGTACCATGTATCCTGTTTCACGGCTTCGCTAAAGCTCTTGCCCTTCCATCCCCGTCCCTCTGTATGAGCGTTGCACTCCTCCTTATCCGTTTCCATCTCTGTTCCAGTTCCAGCCTCATCTTCCATTGTCGTATCGTCCAAGTTCAGAGCTCGCACTTTTTTCTTCGGCTGGATCGTTTCCTTCGCACTTTTACCGTCCGGTGTCGACGATCCTTCAGAAGGCCGTCGTACTCCGCTTGTGATATCAGGAGGCTTGCCCGCAGCTGGCAACACCGTCGCCGGTGACTGCGCCGTCATCAAGACCCCCGAACCCTAGCTCGCGAAGAACAAAAAACTCGTCTCTCAAGCTCCGAGAAGTTCGGAGCTAATTGATTAATTCTTCATAATTACTATGTAAGCCTCGTTGTGGCTTTTGAATGAAAATACTTAGAGTATTTTTGTCTCCTTCCTTAAGCCAACCAATTCTGAATCTTTGTTTCCATATCTATTCCTCTTTTAAGTATTAAATTTCCTTTCTCTGATTCCATGTTCTTTTTCACTTGAATTATGCAGCTTGACTTTAGAAATCTCCTTATTTCACCCAGTCTCTTATCAATTATGTCAAGCCTCTTATGTATATTTACAAACTCCTTCTCGCTCGCCCGAGCAATAACTTTCTTGCACTAAGAAAACAAGATAACCCGTGCTTCTACCCCAATTTTTCTCAACATCTTTCCAACCACTTTCATTCAACCTTATCTCGTACAAAGAGAGAAAACCTCTCTAGATATATAAATAGTAAGATAGATAGAATATGAGAGCATTTTGAAAATTAGTGGGAGGAAGTACTCTTGATTCGAACCCGAAACTGTGGACTCCCCAGCTTGGCTAGAGCAACAAAAAGAAGCAAAAGACTTATTCATTCTATATGTTTTTTTTATAGTTTATTGGTAAATAATAATTATTAGCGACATTTCTATCATATTTTAAAATATTAGTCAAACTTTTCAAAATACGAAATATTAGCCAGGTGCTAACTTCCAGTTAGTAGTTTTGTTGGTAATATTGACTTGACAAGATGATATTGACTTGGAAGAAACACATGGAGGTCAACATTCCAAAACTTTAATATTTGAACTAAGAAAAAGAGTTACAAAATTATTAACGATACCAAAAAATGACTAATATTTTGATGCGTTACAGAAAATTTGGCTAGTTGTATTCCGAAAGTTTTGACTAATATTTCAAATTGCAGAAAAAGTTTGTCTAATAATTAGTATTTACCCTGGTTTTTTTTCATTCTTTTTGTCATACAACTTATTTCATATTATTCTCGATATACAGCATAACTTTTTCATCCCTTTATAATATGATAGTAGTATGATGACATCAGTTTATCGTGCTCACATATAAGATTTTGTGCTATTTTACCATTGGCATACCAACATCATACCAATATGGTAAGTTTATAATACATTCTCACCATTATCATATTATGATGATCTTATCACTATGGTAAGACTAACAAAATTATCACACCCAATGCAGTCAAAAGCGCGATTCTACCTAGAAGCGGTTGAGTGACCTAAAAGCGTAAAATCGTAAGCTTTTAAGTTTTAAAACGTAGATTTTGACTGCATTTGTAAGGGAAAATCATGATTCTATGTAGAAGCGTTGTGGTGACACAAAAAGGTAAAAGCGTAAGCTTTTAAGTTTTAAAGCGCGATTTTGACTGCATTGATCACACCATTGTCATATCATGATATTATCACATTAACAATACTATGATATGACAATGGTAAGATGAAGAGAAAATGTTATGCTCCAAAAAATATTAAATTAAATATAATCTTGTAGCACAAAAAATCTTATTTTTTACACAATTATTTTTATAAATTCAATGTAAATTGAACTAGATGTCGTTCATTGAATATTTGTATGAGATTTTAAAAAAATGCATTAACAGTCTCGTAGAGATTCGTGACCTAATTGTCCCTCAAACCTCTACCTTCCCTCCTTAAACCGCTACAAAGATGATCAATTGATCACATTATCTCCAATCTTAGCCACCATATATGATTTTGTAGTATTACATAATAGAAGAATTTTGAATTACAACCTATGCCTATATATATTGTAAACAAATTTATATTTTTTTTAGTTATTGAGGGCTAATATTATGGACCTAAAATTTTTCCTAATAATGAGGTATTATGAGAGCATTTTGGAAATTAGTGAGAGGAAGTGTCAAGAACTGTTTAGTCTCAATAACTCGAGTTGTTGGGAGAAGTTCAATTATGAGTCGTTTATTTACAACTTACTAACACGCTCCGTCAAATGAAAGTCTACTCATATATGCTCAAAGTTTTCACATGTCTAAATATCATGTGTTCAACAAATTGAAGATAAAATCTCTCGATTATAAAAGACTAAAATTAAAATTGTTAATAAAAAAAAATTAATCCAAAGAAGTACTCATGATTTGAAGACGGACATACAACATATCCTCGATATACAACATAACTTTCTCATATTCCTTTTTTTTTTAACAAAAGATATATATTAATCAAGAGAAAAAGATAGTTACATCCTGGAACTCAGCCAGGCCCGAAAATCAACAGCATGACAAGCAGCCGGGTACATAGAAAGGGCCTTTCTAGCCACCAAGTGGGCTACCCTATTATTACGCCGACCTACAAACCGGATACTCAAACCAGGATGGCAGGAAAAAATTTCCACTACCTCACTAAGAATAGCCCCCATCCTACTATCCGCTACCTCCCTCCGCCGAACTTTCTCGATAATCACCTTGGCATCCCCCTCAAAGCGAATCAAACTAAACCCCTGGGCTAAACACCATTTCACAGCCTCTCGAAGCGCCAGGACTTCAGCTATCACCGGATCATCAATAACTGGGAAGTGAATCCCTCCAGCCCTCAGGATCCCACCCTCCGCACTCAGGACCATGCCCCCCGCAGAGTGAGAGCCTGCTTTCGTCGCCCCATCCCACTGGCAGACAAGACCAGCATCCCCATGCGGAGCCAGAAAAAGACCATAATTCCTCCGCGGATCCAGAAGACCATGACAGCTGCCCCTAGTAACGGCAGAAGTAGGGTCCCCAGGCAACCGCTCCCATTCATTCACTTGCTGCTGGAACTGGCGCATCAAGGCCAAGAATTCAAACTGCTTTCCCTCAAACACCACCCAATTCCGGGATTTCCAAATCCTCCACAGGACTGCAATCACAGCCATGAACTGTGAAGGTTGATGGATCAAGGCCAATAACCGCTTGAGGAAGAGAGGAAAGGTCTGCCTCGGAAGTCCCTCACCCAAAAACTCCATCCCAGAATAATCCCACATAGCTCGAGCCACCGGAAAATAAAGGAACAGATGCTCCAAGGACTCAAGCTCATCCCAGCAAACTGGGCAACGTGGCATAACCGTCACCTTCTTCTCAACCAGGGCCTCCATCGTAGGGAGAATGCGATTAAAAATTTGCCACACAAAAATCTTCAGCTTAGGCGGAATATTCGCATCCCACAAACGGATCCAACTACTTTTATCCATCCAGCTAACCATATCCCTCCACCGTCCCCCCCGTTTGTCAAGAGTGACAGCAAGATGATATGTAGACTTCACTGTGAAAATCCCATCCGACGTGCCATGCCAAACCAGTTTATCCTCCACCCCATGGGCTGGGAGAGGGATAGCACGAATAGCCTTGCAAGTCGCCGGATCAAACCATTGATGTAAGCTCTCCACACACCACCCTCCACCTCCTTGACACATGACCTCCGCTACTTTCAGCTCCTGATCTACTGGCAACACCCTAGGGTTAAAAACAGGAATGTCAGGATGTAACCCCGGTATCCAGTTGAAATGCAGCAGCGGCGCGGTCTGGCCATTCCCGACTTGCCATCGCACGTCTGCTATCAAGAGCTCTCGTCCGTGGAGGATACTCACCCAACCCCACGAGGGACGCGACCGAGCTTTGGCCTCAAGGAACGTACCATGCGGGAAATACTTTCCTTTATAAACCCTAGCCAAAAGGGACTGGGGATCCATCAGAATACGCCATCCAATTTTTGCCAGGAGGGCCTGATTAAACTGCTCAAACCGGCGAAACCCCATTCCACCCTCATGCTTACTTCGACAGAGGTTCCTCTAAGACATCCAATGGATCTTTGGCATCCCCTCATTCATACCCCACCAAAAACGGGCCACATGCTTATCCAGCAGCCTACAAAGGCCCAACGACATCTTAAAACAGGACAGCACATGTAACGGCAAAGCCATTGCCACTGCTTTAATCAAAGTCTCCTTAGCAGCCCAAGAGAGCGTTCTCTACTTCCATCCCTGCAACCTCTCCAACAATTTGTCCTCCAGGTATCGAAATGTTGCCATTTTGGATCGAGCAATTAAAGTTGGCAATCCTAAATACTTATCATGCACCCCCAGTGCCCCTACTCCTAAAATCTGTGCCAAGAACTCCTGGTCTGGCATCGCAATATTCTTGCTAAAGCAAACTGCTGACTTAGCCAGATTCACTTTTTGGCCGCTTAACTCCTCATATTCGTTCAAGACCTCAATCAGGTTTTCACATTCTTGGAGAGATCCCCGCAGGAACAGATAGGAGTCGTCAGCAAAGAACAAATGCGAAATGCGGGGAGAGCGGGGAGCGACCTTCACCCCTTCTAATCTCTTTTCCGAAATTGCCTTACGAAGGAGAGCTGCAAACCCCTCTGTGCAAATGACAAACAGCAGCGGGGAAAGCGGATCTCCCTGCCTCAGCCCCCGAGAAGGGGCACAGAACCCAGCCGGAGTACCATTCATGAGAACTGAAAAAGAGGCTGATCGCAGACACTCCTGAATCCATCCTCGCCAGGTGGAATTAAACCCCATTTTATCCAAGACCGCGAGGAGAAACGGCCATTCGACTCTATCATAGGCCTTTTCCATGTCAACCTTTAGAGCCATAAACCCTTTCTTCCCCCGATTTTTGCTTTCTCATATTCCTTGATTATTAAAAACCAAAAAGTAAGACTTTACCATCCCTAACAAAAATCCCCAAGAAAGACAAAACAAAACAAAAAAAAAAAACCCACAAATCCGATCATGGCTCTTACGTCAAAACACACTCTGCCGCATGACTATATCCCTCACTAGTCAACCTCAGCGCCGGCGAAAATACAACTGCCTGCTCCCCGCCGCCGGCGAACCCATACCGTAAAGGAAGTTCCTTACGAGGAAAGAGCTCGGTCTTGCCACCAGCTTCTCCCACGCCCCATCTACTTCTTCCTTCCCTCGTTTTCTAAACACCTCGGTTGCATCAATTCGATGAATATTCCACCCCTTAACTCTCCTCAGCCGTTGGATCTTCTCTCGTTGCCGGGAAGCCAAATTACAAGTATTCCTCTTGATCTCGTCGATCGCTTCCCGAAGAACCCTCGCTCTGGTTTCCCCATCCACACCGAAATGACGCCGTTCCACTCTCAAATACTTGTCCAGCTCTGGAACCCCAATCGATTTCCGAATCCCCTCCCTATACTCTGTTTTCTCAGGATCAAACATTCCCCGAACTTCATCCACTAACCCGTTCTCGACCATCGAATCGACCCTTTTCGACACGAATTCGTGCAGGACCGGGGTTGATACGTCGAGCCAGAGGCAGCAGCAGTCGTACTTCGACCGGAACCCCCAGAATTCGTCATCGCCGTCGTCGTCGACAAGCGCCTCGATGTAGGAATTGGAGCCGCCGACGATGATCGGTAGGGAACCCTTCATGAGGATTGATTCGATGGAGGCAGAGGCATTGTCGCAGAAGTTTCGGGAAGTGAAATCGGCGTTTGGGTCGACGGTTCCCAACAAGTGGTGGGGAACGCCGCGGGTTTCTCGGTCGGTGATCTTGTTGGTGACGACGTCGAGCCCCTTGTAGACCTGCATCTTGTCGGAGTTGATGATCTCGGCGGCGTGGAATTCGGTGGCGAGGTCGACGGACAGGCGGGATTTCCCCGTCCCCGTGGCGCCCATGATGATCACCAGTTTCTCCTTGTGCCACATTGCCGGCGGGGGTCTCTCCAGTAGTTTCAGCATTCCGGTCGGTATTTCGAGAGCGGGGCAATTATTGGGTAGTTGGATTTGTTGGCACACCGGCATTGAATTTGAAAGCCGCATAATGTATATACTCTGTTTTCACTTTGAGAAACAGAGGACGTGTGTCAATTGAAGAAGCAGAAACAGAGTAGACTGGCTTGGTGGTGTGGGAGAAGTTCATGGGGGTATTTATAGGGTGATGGTTGGGCATGTGCAAGTGTAGACGCAGCAAACTGGAAGGGAAGAAAAGAAGAGGAAAAAAAGAGAGAACAAGTTGCTAAAGTGGGAATGGGGCTCCAGCAGCAACCTTTCCTTCTTTTTATCTGGAATGACTCTAAATGGGTGATATGAAAGATATGACTTCAGGGGGTGGGAGGGAAAAGACAGCAGGGGAGGAAGGAAAGAGAGGATGTGGATTGTTTTCTTAAATCATTATTGATGGAGCTTTGATATGATAAGATGGCATGATGGAGCTAGTTAGCTGCCCAAGTTACAGAGGAGAATTCATTTCAGTCACAGAACATTGGACATCGGTATTCCAATACTCTGTTGGTAATCTCAATGTTGTTCATGGTATATAATCTATAACGGAATTTCCACTAACAACTACTCGAGATATTCCGGTCAATTAGTTTTTTGTAATGATATCAGAGTTCTTTTTGTAATCGAGAGGTTCCGTGTTCAAATTCCTACGATCTCCATCTATCAAACACATGGTATTCGGACATGTACGAACTTCAAGTCTTTACGAGTAATTTTCGTTTGAGGAAGCGTACAGTAATATGTAATTGTTTTCTGGCGAGGAAAACTCTTGTGTTTGATATTAATGCTTGCACCTTGACTTCTTGAACAACGATTAATAACACGGTTCACTCCTCTCCGAACAATGTTCGAACGAGGGTGTTTGATGTTTTTGATGGGTTCTTGGGAACATTCTACGTTAATTACTCCTACTCCTATGGAGGTTCAATGAGAGCTCTAAAAACTAAGGGCTATGACTATGGCCACATTGCAGAGAAAAAGATCAATTTTGACATTGTGTGTCAAATGTTTGGTTGTGGAACCCGTTTACACTCTTAGTTTCTCCTATTTATAGCCACTAGGTGTAATTGCCTTGGTAACCACCTTAGTAACTGCTAGCTGGCCTCTTGCTTCAAACCGCCTCGGGGCCCCTTGTCGCCGCCTTGGTGACTAGTTGGTAACCGTCTCCTTGGGGGCCCTTGTCTCGTCTTGGGGCTGGTGGGTATTTGATGGTCTCGATGCCGGGTCGGGTTGGTGCTGAGCCTTGTCTCTCTGTCATGACTGGATAGGGTTGAGCCTATTTGCCTTAGCCTCCATGATGAAGTATTGATCACCCACCTAGACATGATGAGAACTTGGCCCATTTACCCCCAAGTCTCCACCTTTAGTCTTAGAGAGACTGTCATGGCACCAACTTGTCATCTTGGTATCAAGTCAATCTTGTCGGCTTTATACCCTTGATACCAAGCCGGACATGATGAGAACTTGGCCCCTTTACCCCCAAGTCTCCACCCTTAGTCTTAGAGAGACTGTCATGGCACCAACTTGTCATCTTTGTATCAAGTCAATCTTGTCGGCTTGATACCCTTGCTACAAAGCCGGCAGCCCTGTCGGCTTGGTTTCCATACTTAGCTTCTAGAATCTACATCATGTTTATGATGACTTGGTACCCAGCATGGTAGCCACCTCAGATGGCCACCTTGTCACCTCCTCATCGGGTTGGCACCCTTTGATCTCCATACTTAGTTTTTTGGGATGTTTGGTAACCTGATATCAAGTCTGGCTTGTCGGCTTGATATCCTTTAGGGGTCTTGGTATCGTGTTGCCTGACTACCAAGCCTATCTCGCCGACTTGGTACTCTGTTGGCTCCATACTTAGCCAATTTTCATGTCATGGTACCAAACTCTGCTTTGTCGGCTTGGTATCATGTTGCTATGGCACCGTTGTTTGGTACCCAGCTTGGTACCCGATCGTTTGGCACCCACCCCGTTGTGCCGCCTTGTTTCCAGACTTACTTTTTTGGGAGCCAGATTTCATACCAAGGGGTGGAGGCATCGTTTGGCTATGACCCAAGGAGACGATTGGCCATCATATAGGGAAGAAGTGTTTTGGCCACTTAGGCCCAAAACCCCAACCCAATAAGACCCGACTAACTCATTTAATTATAAAAATATTGAGCTGACCTTATAAATCTATTAAGTGATTTAAATCCCCTGTAATTGATCGATATGATACAAATTAATTTTAATGGGTAAACAGTAAAATAAGATATATTATTGACAATCTTTTAATAACTCAAGTTATTGTAATCCATTGGTATTCAAACCTGCATTAAGTAACATTCATGACACTAATGAGCCAACATGTTACTATCAGAAGCTGCAAGCAGCTGGTCACTGCCTGATTGTCCTTTGTACTCTTTCTTTTATTTATTCGATTAGTACTTGATTCGAAAAGCATGCTCATCGGGACATATTTCCTATAAGAATATTATTTTCATAGCATTTTGACCTGCTGGCCAAGAATTAGCTTTTGAGTTACAAAAAATCTCTTGTTAAAAGCATTATTATAGAGGTATTGATCAAATTGTATGTAGGGGTGTCTGTTCGGTTCGGGTCGGGTAACCGAACCCGAAACCCACTAACCTGAAAAATCCGAACCTGCCAATGCTTGTAACCCGAAACCGAACCCGAATTGGTGTCTTGTGGGTTGCGGGTACCCAAACCCAAAAACTGTACTAGCGGTTTCGGTTCGGTTTGCTTGAACCCGAAAACCGAACCTCCTCCTTGAGCACTCCGCCCAACAACACCTGTTGTCTCATTCTTAATTCCAGAGTTTCAATTTCTCTTTCATTCCTTCTTCTCCTCACCTCCACTCCCACCAACACCTATTATTACTCTTCTGTTCCTTCTCATACTCACCCCACTACTGTTCCAACTTCCAACCCCTACCGCCACCAGCCTACAAAAGAAACCACAGAGACTTTGCAGATGAAGCTCTTCTGTTCCAAGCTTCATCTGTTATTACTCTTCTGTTCCTTTATTGTAGCTTTTGCATCTCTGCCACCAGCCTACAACCACAAGAATTGGTCGAATCTAGGATAAGAATCGACGAAGCTAAGGGAGGAATCGAATATGGGAAACTATAAAACCAGATCGGAGAAAGCTTTCAATGCGGCGCCCGATGTACCCAGATGCACCACCGACTTGGAAAGCTTCCGACTCAAACGGAACCATATGCGTCCCCCGACTTTACCCAGATGCACCACCCGACGTTACCCAGATGCGCCGCCTGACGTTACCCAGAATCCCAGAAGCGTCGCCCGAATTGTGGAGGGAAACCACCACTATACTCACCTCAATCCTCTGTCGAAGCCTTGAAATCAAAAGGTTTGGGAGTTTCAGATGAGATGGGAAAGCCTCGAAGATCGAAGTTGAACTGCAAATCCCAAAAGGGCATAACGGTAGCTGAAGGTTGGTATCGGGGTTTTTCGAGTTCTTATCGGGTTTCGGGTTACAACGAAACCGATGCCACACACATCTGGGTTGAAACCGAAAACCCGAACCCGACAGCACTGCTATCGGTTCGGTTTCGGTTGAACCCGAAAACCCGAAACAGTACCGACACCCCTAATTGTATGTCTTCATTCGATCTTTCAGTCAAAGGCGGAAAGGTGGTCTCATATAGACTTTGGACAGTTGGAATAGACGTTTTGATTCATGAATCAATGAAGAAATCATATTTATTCACACCATTCTTCAATATTCAAGTGGTGGACGATATCCAAATTCTGATAAGTTGATTTTAGTGATAATAATTCTGGCTCGCATGCTATACGACGATCACCTATGCTAATTGTAGTGACAACCGTTGTAAAGAGATTGAGGAGTGATAGGGGTAATAGAGTTAAAACTCAATTATAAATGTTTGATTTGATTTTCATATATATGGAATTTGTAGAGAAACTCACCAAGACAACATCTTTAATTTTTGTATTTTTTTTGTGCTCACTCATATTCCGTTTACTGCTTTATAATATTTGGCTTTTTACATTCTTCTTTCGATTAAGTTCGGGATTATGTCTCATAGTAAGGTTGTAGTGGTGTAAATCCAAATCACTAGATCTTAACTCTATGTGTTCTTCGAACAAATTGGTTATACTAGGTGAAATCATCATAACATAAGCAACACATTTTCTACCTTGTTTCCTACCACTTTAAGATATTTCTCTTTACTTTTCTCCACAGCAAACAAAACACTTGGGACAATGATAACACATACAAAAAAACCATTTTGGACCCTCTATTTTATGACATGTTTTATATGATTTTTACATCATAACTTGAATTTGCTTGATATATATATATATACTCAAAAGTGTGTGTGATAGCATCTTGGAGTTTTTTTACACGTGTGATGCCTTTTGTATATTTTTTCAATATTTCCAGGTAGGGTCATTAAAAAGATCATCATGAAATGAAAGAGGACGAGAAAACGAGCGCATAGATTCAGACGAGAATGGATTCAGAGGTCGGACGAGTGAGATATAGCCCAAACAAGCCACACAACATAATGGCGCCCTTGTCTGCCAAATCCCAAAATGGCGGTTAAAAGCCCAAGTCGATTTAAAAACTCGTCATTATGAAGAAGTGAGTTGAAAGGATTTTTTTTAGGAGCAGCATCTTTTCCCCTGGGATGAATTGAGGAGGGTTAGCCACCAGAAAACGACCTCGAGAAGCTCTCAAGTCTCAAAACGGAGAAAGAAGTCAAGAATCGAGAAGCAATTGATCATATAGAAACATCTCCTCTTCTTGTATTTGTTGTTTTTTTTATTTATGGATAACTAAACGTCTAGTTGTCTATATTATTTATATTATATAGAATCCTAGGGATGATGGAGTTTTTTTTGGGTATGGCCTCATGGATGTTTGATTGATTGCTATTGACATTTTCATGTTAATGAGATTGCTTATTTCATCGAAGCTATTTTCTCACATGAATAATGATGATAGCTTCGAATATGTTTTGTGTTAGATGAGACTGGACACATCCATCTCTCACAAATCAATCACCAATTGATTGAACCACCCAAACTCCTCAAGAGAGAAATTTGTAGGACCCATCATAGCTTATTAGATCTATTAATCGTTAGATGTACGATATCATGGAATCACTCTCTCAAGGTCAAGCCTTAACTCACATGATATAGGAAACCATCAGACCTCGGGGGAAAATAATAAGGATAATCAACTTTAATTTTGTATATTTTTATCTTTATTAATCTTATGTGTATATATTCTTCCTTTGTTTCGATTTATAAGTGGGAAGTTATTGCAAAGCTTAGATACAAATCCTTATTTTGAATAATAGATCAACTAGAGCCTCGTGAGAATACGATATGAGTATCCCTTGTATCTACTCAGTTCCATTTTACTTTCTCTATAATGAATTAGACACATCAACCCCGCTTAGAAGAAACCAGCCTTGCTGAGCAGCCAATCTAAGACGCATCAAACTGTGACAAGTTTAGCGACTGGCACAAACGTGTCATGAAAGTCGATACCCTCAAGCTGCGTAAATACCTTGGTAACCACTTGAGCCTTATGCCGCTCGATGGGTTCATCAGGGAGGAACTTAATCTTATACACCCACTTGGAGTCTCAGACGTTTGCCAGGGGACAACTCGCATAAATCACAGGTGTCGTTGGCTTCGAAAGCATTAACTTCAATGGTCATGGCGTCACGCCACAACTTATAACGTACGACTTCATGGAAAAACTTTGGTTCAGGAACGCGGGAGATAGTTGCAATGTAATCCCGGTCATTAGGAGACAATAGATGATAAGACACAAAAGCAACCATTGGGTATTTAATAGGAGAGACAATGCAAAGTTGTGATGAAGGAAGAGAGGAAGGAAGTTTGACCTCATAGCCATCAAGACGGACGAAAGGCTTCCAAACACGAAGGCCACGAACCTGCCTGGGGGGGGGGGGGGGTTGACGAAATGGAGGCCGCAAAGTTATTCGGATTCAAAAAATGGAGGCCCCAAAGTTTGACGAAATGCGAGACCCGGCAGTATGCGGCTTGCAAGATCTCAAAAAGTTTGCGGCCTCCATTTTTTGAATCTGAATAAATTTTTGAGATCTTGCAAGCCGCAAACCGCTGGGTCCCGCCTTCGTCTCGAAAAAACGTCATTTGCCACCCCGAACGAGCCTTTTTTTGATTTCGTCAAACTTTGGGCGGCCATAACTTTGTGCTCCAAAATCCTAATTTCATGATTTTTTTTTGATTCCACATAACTTTTCAAGATCTACAACTTTTAATATAATCATAATTTCAAAATATACATGAATTTGTGAAAAGTAAAGGTAAAGTTATTCCCAAGGTCCCGTATATCCACAAATAGTTCCAGTTTTGAAAATTTCATCCTAGTAAAAGTTGTAGATCTTGAAAAGTTATGCGAAATAAAAAAAAATCGCTACGATCGGATACCCGAGTGAAAAGTTACGTTTGTTTGAAGTTTCGGCCGAAGTTAGGAGTTGATCGAAAAAAAAAAAAAATTGGACCAAACCGCTGGGTGGGGTGGCGGTTTGACCCAAAACCGCCACCCCACCCAGCGGTTAGGTCAAATTTTTTTTTTTTTATAACCGCCCCCTAGGCCCGCTGTTTGCATAGAAAACCGCGCCTCCGACAAACGGTTTTCGTGTAAACCGCAGGGTGGGTGGCGGTTTTTGAAAAGGGTGGTATTTTTGGAATTTTTTGGGGTTGGGTGGTATTTTTGAATTTTTTTTTTAAACAGTGGTACTTTTGGATTTTTTCCATATATGTAACGTGGTCGTATTGTCAAGGGAAGGGTGCCCCAATCTAGAATGCCACAAAGCTGACGAGGTCTCACGAAGTCCTTCCGCAGATCGACCAACCACCTCATAAAGCTCGTCAAACAGGCGCAAGTGATGAAGTCTGTCCTGCTGATTACCCATCCCAATCATCCTCCTGGAGCGTAAGTCTAGGATCACAAAGAAGTCGTGTAGAAAAACCAATGCTAACGGAAAATCCTTGGTAAGACGGCTAATGAATAAGAGATTGCACTTGAAATCTGGTACGAGAAGCACTCGAGGCAACACCATCCCATTCTGCAACATTACCGACCCTATACGAGTAACCCCTAATGCATCACCATTTGGTATACTAACTCGGAAATCAAATTCAAGAGTGGAATTGGTAAGAGTTCCAATATGTATAGCTATGTGGTCATTACAGCCAGAATCCAAGAAATCACAAGTGGCAGACGTTTTACCTGCCCAATCATTGTCGAGAGAAGCTTTGGGTTCCCCGCCAAGAAACTTACAGAGCGTTTTCACTTGCGACTTTGTGAAATCTGTAATGGGACTCACATCAGCACCCATAGCAACTGACTTGAGCCCCCCACGACCACGATCTTCAGGTCTGCGAGACAGATTCGCTCCACCTTTGTTACCGCCCTTCTCAAAATAGCCAGGAGGGTAACCTGATAGACCGTTCGTTATATGCACATATTTTGGCCACAATTATTGAACCGTTTGAGGGTCGATTCTTGTGTTTTAATCTGATTTCACGCTAGGTTGTGCGTTTATGTCATATTTCAAGACTTGGCGTGGAAATGGAGGCTTGGAAGCGAGTTTTGGGTTTGAAATGAAGCATTGGCGGCAAGGAGGAGCTGAAAGGCCAAATACCTGGTCAGGTCACTCAAATACCCGATCGGGTATTGGACCGGCTAAAGTCACTTGGATACCCGTAGAAGCAGAAGGGGGCCCGACCGAGAAGCATAAATACCCGATCGAGTATTTTAGCCCGGGATCGGGTATTTCCCCTTGTGCCTGCGCACTGCGTTTCATAATACCCGGTCGGTTCCCATGAATACCCGACCGGGTATTTGGGCCGGGTATCGCGAGCTTCTACCGTTTCAAGGGAATTTCGGGTTTCTTTGGAGGGGGATTCGAGTTTTAGAAAAAGAAAGCAAAAACCTAGATAGAGAAAGTGACGAACAAAGCCTTCAAGTGACCTAGATCGAGATTCAACATCATTGGAGCTCGATTGAAGCTTTGAGAAGTGTCGATTGATTACCGGAAGCCAATTTTCATACTCCATAGAATGATTTTTGCATCTGAAGTTGATTTCTCTTCTCTCTCTATGGAGTAAACTTTCTATCTCTCCTGGGTATGAAGAACCCTAGATTTGTATGTTAGGTTTGGTTGTATGAACCCAAGTACATGTTCTTTTGACGTTGAATATATTCAATTGAGGTATGATTTTCTGAATTGCATGAATCCTGATCAAATTTCTGTAGTTCCTGCTTTGACCTAGAAAGAGAATATATGCTAAAGGTTAGTAGAGCACCCTTAATTGAAAGTGGTGAATTGATTACTTTAGTCGAGGAGTCAATTCACTGCTCTGTACTGGATTTACTCTAGTAGAGGAGGTTTTGCACGTTAGGGTCTTAGTTTTTTTACTCCGCTGGAGATTAGTAGCCCGCCGAGTATTCAGATTGAGGGAGTCTGGAGACCTTTAGTCAAGACTTCAGACTGAATAAAAGCCTTCCTCAGTATAACTGTCATTGAATCTGGACTTGGAGAATTACAACCCGACTTAACTGCTATCTAGGGGGAACCATATCTGGATAACCTCTCTCTGACTTAAACCACAACTTTTACTGCTTTGTGGTTGTTTAGCTTAGTTAATATTTCACTACAGTTAAACCGCTAAATAATAAGAACTTCACGGAATAGTAATCACATCTTGGACCCAGGTTGACAATTAAAGCTAAACCCGCTATACTACGCATTAGTAGGTGGTTACACTTGGCCACTTTCTAGTGTGACAGTACAGGCGAGTCATAACCAATAATCTCAAAACATTTTTCTTTTGTATGGCCCAATTTCTTACATTGCGGGAACCGAGGACGAGAATCTTGGTCTCGATAAGCTACCTTCTCCATGGATGACTCTTGCATGGCTGCGAACGCTGCCGCCTCAACCCGTGGCTTGTGATTCATAGAATTTTTTTGCTGCTATTCGTCCATAGATATCATGTTGTATGCCTCAGTGATAGTAGGATTAGGCTTCATTGACAATATTTGGGACTTAACTGCAGAAGGGGGCCCGACCGAGAAGCATAAATACCCGATCGAGTATTTTAGCCCGGGATCGGGTATTTCCCCCTGTGCCTGCACACTGCTTTTCATAATACCCGGTCGGTCCCCATGAATACCCGACCGGGTATTTGGGCCGGGTATCACGAGCGTCTGCTGTTTCAAGGGAATTTCGGGTTTCTTTGGAGGGGGATTCGAGTTTTAGAAAAAGAAAGCAAAAAACTAGAGAGAGAAAGTGACGAACAAAGCCTCCAAGTGACCTAGATCGAGATTCAACATCATTGGAGCTCGATTGAAGCTTGGAGAAGTACCGATTGATTACCGGAAGCCAATTTTCATCCTCCACAAAAGGATTTTTGCATCTGAAGTTGATTTCTCTTCTCTCTCTATGGAGTAAACTTTCTATCTCTCCTGGGTATGAAGAACCCTAGATTTGTATGTTAGGTTTGGTTGTATGAACCCAAGTACATGTTCTTTTGACGTTGATTATATTCAATTGAGGCATGATTTTCTGAATTGCAGGAATCCTGATCAAATTCCTGTAGTTCCTGCTTTGACCTAGAAAGAGAATATCTGCCTAGGTTAGTAGAGCACCCTTAATTGAAAGTGGTGAATTGATTACTTTAGTCGAGGAGTCAATTCAATGCTCTGTACTGGATTTACTCCAGTAGAGGAGGTTTTGCACGTTAGGGTCTCAGTTTTTTTACTCCAATGGAGATTAGTAGCCCGCCGGGTATTCAGATTGAGGGGGTCTGGAGACCTTTAGTCAAGACTTCAGACTGAATAAGAACCTTCCTCAGTATAACTGTCATTGAATCTGGACTTGGAGAATTACAACCCGACTTAACTGCTATCTAGGGGGAACCATATCTGGGTAACCTCTCTCTGACTTAAACCACAACTTTTACTGCTTTGTGTTTGTTTAGCTTAGTTAATATTTCACTACAGTTAAACCGCTAAATAATAAGAACTTCACGGAGTAGTAATCACATCTTGGACCCAGGTTGACAATTAAAGCTAAACCCGCTATACTACGCATTAGTAGGTGGTTACACTTGGCCACTTTCTAGTGTGACAGTACAGACGAGTCATAACCAATAATCTCAAAATATTTTTCCTTTGTATGGCCCAATTTCTTACATTGCGGGAACCGAGGACGAGAATCTTGGTCTCGATAAGCTCCCTTCTCCATGGACGACTCTTGCCTGGCTGCGAACGCTGCCGCCTCAACCCGTGGCTTGTGATTCGTAGAATTTTTTTGCTGCTATTCGTCCATAGATATCATGTTCTATGCCTCAGTGATAGTAGGATTAGGCTTCATTGACAATATTTGGGACTATACTGTGGAAAATACATAATCTAGCCCCATCAGAAATTCAAAAAGATGTTTACTATCATCTCTACCACGAGTCTTTTTCCCTAGGTCTCACACGCATTGAGCGCAAGTGCATGGGGACGTGTGAGAAATTCGTTCGGCCTCCTCTCAGAGTGTGCACAGCTCAGTGTAGTAAGTCGAGACACTCAGCTTTGCTTGTGGCAACAAACTAGTCAAACGACGAAGCTCATAGTGGCGAGGGTCACTACCTTGTCCAAGGTGAGCTTTAAGATCATCCCTTATGCTTTGACGTCTTCGCGAGTCTGATTCTACGTCTCACCTCCAGAGTCATGGAGGCCTTAAGCCAGCCCTTGAGTGTTACATCAACTCTCGTCCACGCCGCTTTCTCTCGTGGTGTGGTTGGTTGATGTATGGTTCCATCAACAAACCCTAACTTATTCTTGGCTAGCAAAGAGTCGGTCATGTCAATTACCCATTCTCCATAGTTGCTAGGAGTCAGCAAGTCACCCACGTGTTGCGAGTAGGATTGAGGAAGAAAATATACAAAGTTCACGTTGGATGTAAGGAATTTTTCGTCGACGGGAGCCTTTGTGCTGCCATTGCTTGCTACCTTACTATTGTCATCACTCATGATGATTCTAAATCAGCGAGATGAGCTTCGTCGAACCGAAGACGAACTAAGCGGAATGAGCTTAGCCCGTCTTTTGTTCCATTCTCAAATCCCTTAACTTTTGAAGTCTCGTTTTCGTAGTGGACCGAGCAAAAATGAACCCTGGATCTAAACCAAGCTCTGATACCATGAAAAAATCTAATACGCGAAAGCAGAAACAATCACACAACACACCATTTTACGTGGTTTCCTCGTTTGTTGTGAACTAGACTACTCCAATTATTAAGCTTAATGAACCCACTCTTACAACCTCCAATGTTGCGGCAGCTACAGCTTATATAACTAGCCGAGTAAGCATGAGACGAGCTAGTTAAGTGGACAATAACAATCAAGTCCCTCAACTTAACAAACGCGGACAAAACGATTCATAATAATAATAACACGAGAGCATGCATGGACAATACTCCCGCAACAGTTGGGAGAGATTCGATCGTGGATCATATACCATTTACTAATACACCCCCCAAACGAAAACCACTATATATGGGCTTGAAGTTTGCACGGGAATAGATGAGGGTCATCGGGAATCGAACAGAAGATCTCTCGGTCACAGAAGGCTCTGATACCATGTCAAGAACCAGTTAATTCCTATAACTCGAATTATTGAGAAAGGTCCAATCGTGTATCATATACCGTTTACTAACAATGTACATAAGTCTACCTCAAATAGGACATTCATGAGAGACATCAGTTGGTCAGCTCGCAGCTGGTCAAGTCAGCCCAAATAGTGCCAAAACAAACAAACAAACAAATGCGATCCCCACTACACGATGAGAAAATATATAGCTAGTCAAAGAATCAATGCAATTCTTACCAAAAAAGAAGAAGAAGATGAAGAATCAAAGCAATGCTTGCATATATGTGGAGTGGATCGAGAGTGCTTCTTTCTCACTAGCTAAGCATTAGAGTAGTGTAATCCAACCAGGTTATCATCCCCTTTGAATCTGTCGCTATAAAGAATTTCATTGCATGCCTTTGGTCAACCTCAATCCATCTCATCTCAGCCAACATGTACAAATAAATCATAAGAGTCAACTTTAAAGATTGATTGATCAACTTCACGTATCGTCCATCATCCTTACTTGCACGTATTTTTGCACATCGTCTGCTCTCTAACTCACTTTTTTCCTTTCCAAGATTCTTGTCAGAGTAAAACTAGGAGGAGACTGATTTCAGGTAGTAAATATTTGAGAGGAGGAAAGAGATAGTGGGTGTGTTTGTTGAGAAATTTTACAATGCTATATAGTATTGGTGCTATAAGTTTTTGCCTTTATTGTACAACTTAAAATTGTACATTTACGTTATGGTACAACTTCAGATTGTACCTATACTTTTTTTACAAATTCTTTTATGGTACAACTTGAACTTGTACCTTTATGTAAAGGTACAAGTTCAAGTTGTAAAGTTGTACCATAACATAATGGTACAAATTGTTTTATGGTACAACCTAAACTTATACATTTAATGTTATGGTACAACTTTGAGTTGTACATTAAAGCACCAATGCTATATAGCATAGTAGAAGTGCTCGTGTTTGTTAGGTGGAAACTCCAATTATTGAATCAACTTATTATTAATATCGTATCAGAGTGTTCGATTAATAAGTCGTATAGACAAAATTTTCAGCATGATACCACAGTAAAATATTAGATATAGGGTAGGGTGGATATTTTTTTTTGTTATACTATAACTAACTCTGGCCTATTGATTTTGAGTGGGTTCTCTAAAAGATGAGATTCAAGAGTTTTTATTCTTTTGATTTTTTATAATCAACTTTTATTTTCTTTGTTTTGAATTGAGTTATGAATTATTTTACGTAGATGGAGTGTGTTTATGGTGATATACAAAATAATATCCATTTTTATATATTTTTAAAAAAATATTGGCGCCTACCACTCTGGTACCATTCTAAACCACCTTTGTTTTAATTCAAACGGATAGAAGGAAGGTGTTCGTTGTGATCTACAAATTTCTGAAAACAATTTTGTAACCAAATTTATCACGATGGTATGGGGTGGTAGATGATGGTAAGTATATTTCTACTATCATATACAATCATTCTACACTATGCTATATTTATCAAGCATTACCATTATGATATATTTATATCTCAAATGATTTTATTTAAAAATATATTAAAGTGAATATGAGTGAATTTTTTTGAATTTTGAATTAAAATAAAAGAGAGTCGACCTATTAAATTTAATCGAAAAAACAACCAATATGTTCCCAAAATATTAGAAGCTCTCTTCAGTTCCAAAACCCTTTAAAGGCTCCCTCGATCGAATTCCCGCCCAATCGTTCTTATATATCATTTAGAGAAATTTTATTTTTTAATGATAAAATAAGAGGAAAATAAATTATACATAATAAAATGGAGGTAATAACAACTTAATTGAGTCAAACTAGTTTAAAGATAAAAGTTTACTCATATTTTATTTTAATTATCATTGGGTGAAAATATAATTTAAGATAAATATAAATAGAAAATTTTTAAAAAATATTGAGCCAAATCATAGCAGGATGGTCTAGAATGGAACGGGACGAGCGAGGCAAGGTAAAAGTAATACTCATGCCCTGAACCACTTTACTACGAGTTGGGTATTGCTCGCCCAACACGATCATATTGAGTAATAGGGGCCACTTTCAGATTTCAATAACTAGCTATGATAAACCTATCCTAATAAGTTATTGGTAATGGGTCGTTCTTCGTAGTGGTAATGGTTTGGGGCACTAGTACTAGTTTTTTTTTTTTTACAAAAGATAATCGTATATTGATTGAACAAATAGATAGTTACATTCTGGAATTTAGCCAGGTCTGGAAATCAAAGAAACGACTCGTAGTCGGGTACAAAGAAAGGGCATTGCGAGCCACCAAATAAGCTACCCTATTGGTACTAGTTTGGACTCTAGACCAAATGAAATTTCGTTGAATTCTTTCCATTTTCTTGATGACAGTCTTTGGGTTATCCATGCTAGTAAATTAGTCTTTACCTTTTTTTTTTGGAATTGGTATATCTTGTTTGAGGAGGAATGAGTTTGTAGGATTAGTCGTATAAATATGTACATTTGCTCTACATTTTTTCTTATTACTAATAAAAAGTCAAGTATAAGTAGTAATTTAGTTGTAAATTTATCGCATTTTCTTAATTTTACGTACTTTATCTATCTTTAAATTCGAAACATTCCGTACGTGAATTAGTGCGCTGAGAGTAGTCTTTAAACTCAATTATACACGCCCTGAAAGTAATCAAAAGCTTCACTTTGTCAATCATATTATTGGACTGGTAATGATTACCAAATACCAATTGATCCACCCAAAAGGCACACGCCGACTTCGGCTTCGTTTAGTCGTCACACCGTCTTTAGAGATTCTATTTAGATTTTAATCCCTCGTCATCGCAATCTGATTTGGGTTGGCGTGATTGATAATTAGGATAGGATAGCCTTTCCGCCGAGTTTGATGTTATTCTAATCCGGCCCTGTTTTAATTATAATATATTATCACGATTGCACGTGCTTACTGCTAGCATATCCAAATGGTAAATAGTATTGCTTTGATTTGATAGTTTCTAACGAGTAGAGGAATTTTTATGGCAAAAATGCATCTAGTTTCTCCAATATAGGTTTTTCTCCTTCCAAATTGCAAATCTAATAACATAAATATCGATCGATTTCACTTCGATTCGGAGAGTCAAACCCAAACTAAATGTTCACCCCTAGATTCATGGATTATCCTTCCTTTTGCTGCATTTCGGTATAAAGAGAGATTCGTTTATTTTTAGAGCCCGACGAAATGTTTGTTCAATCCTAACCGTCCCTTCACTCTCTGTAAAGAATAGAAGAGTTGATCTAAAGTTTGTTGGTTAGAAACTATTAGTTTCTTTCTCCCCAGCCGAATATCAACTAGTAAACACATGCTCAAGCCCAGAAGATACACATTGATCAAAGATTAACTTATGACCTCATAGATGGAAAGAGATTCGAACTCGATATTCCCATCAAATACTTCAATATTCAAGACCAACTCTTTCAACCGCTCAGACTTCAATCCCCTTCGCGCTGCGAATGTTCGAAAATCAGGTTCGATTGTGTGACCCTAGTTTCCGAAACATGGTTTTTCTCCTTTCAAATTCCGTACCTGATAAACAACATTTTGATTTCGGTCGATTTTGATTTGCTTCAATTCGATTCGGGGAGTCAAAAACCAGAACCGAATGCCCACCCGTAGATCCATGAATTATCCTTCCTTTTGCCGCAATGCTAAAGGGTATTTTAAAGAGAGATTATTTTTATAACCTGACAAAATGTTTGTTCAATCCTAACCATCCCTTCACTCTCTGTAAAAAATAGAAGAGTTGACCTAAAGTTTAGTTACAAACTACTAATTTCTCTCTCCCCTAACGAAACATCGACTAGTAAAAATATGCTCAACCACAGAAGATACAGATTGACCAAAAATAACTTATGACTTCATGTATGGACATGAATTTAAACCCCGTATCAATACTTCGATATTCAAGATACTCTTTTCAACCCCACCCCCCTTCGAGCTTTTCGCCCAACCCCACACCCTTTTTTTCATCAAATTTAAACTCTTGTACTAAACCACCCGTCATCATTGAGTTTTAGTTACCGGTAGCCGGTAGGTAGGAATGGCATTTCGGTTATTTCGGTTATAACTGATAATCGATCGTCCGGTTATTGATAACCAAAATAATCACTCCCCCCTACCGAAAACTGCCCAAAATAGCTTCGGTTTCTCGATTATGGATTACCGACTCACTTTTAAGACCAAAACCCATTTCGTCTAGCCTCCGATAACAGACCGAAGTTTGGTTACTTCGGTTATCAATTAGCGGATAACCGACCAGTTATCGATTTAACTGACCGGTTAAACCAATAACCGATAACCGAACTGCCACCCTACCGGTAGGTACCCTTAAATCATGAATTTTGAACATCGAGACAATACTACATTTGCAGGAACAATACCACCACACTTGCACCGCCCTCTCAACAATACCGTGCATGGAACCCCGTACTCGTACAAAGGATAAACGAGACAAAGGTGAAAACACTCGAAAATTCAAAACCATGTATAAACATGAGACGAGAAGCTTATAGTTTAGCTAGGTGTTGCCCCGAGCTTAGAGTGATTAGCATGATCCATGGGATGATGATGGTGATGGTGATGATGATTCCCTTTGATTATCTTCCGCACCAGCCCCTTCAACCCTTTCTTCTTCCGGCTACCCCCTGGGCTCGTCACCTCCTCCTCCTCCGCCGCCGCAGCACTCGTCCTCCTCTCCTCTCCCGTCAACTCTTCCTCCACCTGCGTACACAACTGTTCATAAACAGCCCCACCCATATCATCGTCGGACAATAGAAACAAAACCCTAAACCCTAAACATCAGATATACGCATGCAGGCAGCAAACCTTGAGCATGCGTTCCTCGACGAAGTGGATTCGGTCCATGAGGCTGCCCTTCATCCCAACCTCCACCATCACGCTTTCAATCGGACGGCACCGACTCTTGGGCGACGAATCCGCGAATGACACCTGGCTGCTCGCCGCCGTCCAGCTGGACGGGGTGGAGGGGGACGACGTCGTCGTGGGGGAAGATGACCGGCCGCTCCCAGCTGCTTTAATCTCCTCCAGCTGCCTCAACTGCGCAGTAATACATCCATATTATGAATTCAACAGAGACGGACACCCACGCACGAATGTTAAAAGACGGGAAAACAAAGTTAATAATTACCATGTTGTCGAGGCGATCCAAGCGGGACAGAATTGGTTCCTCGCTCGCTGTCATATTATCAACTTATTATCGATTGTGGTTTTCGGGTTTGGCTTCGAGGAAGTCAGGAAGAACACTGAATATATAACGTGGGCGGATGATGATTAATTGGGAGCGGAAAACGTGTCCACCGTAGGGTGGAGGTGTCGGAGGAGTAGCTTGACACGTAGCACGGTGGTAGTGACGTGGGTCTTTAGATAAAGACGGCGATGAAGCAAGCACCAGCAGGCGAGGGTTGTGTGACGTAGGCGTAATTTGGCGGTCAATCGTGCCAAGTACTTGTTATTTTTTTTTTCCGGCCCAAAGACTTGTCTCATATTTGATTCTGCAAAGTGGTTTCGTGCGTAGGGCTGCAAATCGGCTAACTGAATGGAGCTTTTACATGGTTTTAGCCTGGTAGAAAATACCTTACTTCATATTTGGCTCAATCTCGATACCAACTATAAAACTTATGCTCATTAGCCCGAGCTCGACTCAATAGTAGTTCATTAAAGAGCTCAATGCCCGAATGAGCATCGGCTTATAAATTTAAAGCTCAATCGCGCATAAAGGTTATCAAGTTTTTGGTGCCGTTGTTGGGGGGTCTTAAGTTATTAGGAAAAGACGAGAACTACTAGTTTAATTATTTGTTGTGTCCCAAGTTTGGCGTTTTTTCGTCGTATTTTGTGTGTTGTGTTTGTGTAGCATCAACCTTTTGGTGCCGTTTTCTTGTGTTTTGTGTTTGTGATATCATATTTTCTTTCTCGTATTTTTCTTTCTTTTGTTATGTTCCCTTTAGTTATCTTGTGTTACGTGTTAGTTCACTTTTTGTTTTCTATTCTTTTTACACTTGTGCTTTCATAGGTTGTTTTCCTTTTTCTTTTTGTGAATATAGACAATGTTTAGGTGTAGCTATGGATCCATATGGTTGGTACAAGAAGTGGGTAGATCACCAAAGGCCGAATTGGTGTTATCTTGAAACTTCTAGTAGTGGTGCTAGCCAAGGATCTAGGTACGAAGAACAACCACCTCTCCATGCCTATCAACCTTACCTCCATGATTATCAAGCATCTCCACCATCATAATAAGAACCACCTCCACAATCTATGGTGAAGAACGAGTTGGAGATGGCCATTGAGCTACTTAACGCGAGTACGCCATATCTAGATGACCTTGAGACAGCTCACTCAACTCCAATCCCGGAGTCAAAGAGCCTCTTGGAGCTCGAATTGAAAAACTCCCGATGAAGTGTGGGAGGTTTTCACCCGTCGTGGAGTCGTTCATCAATTCAACTCGTACACCTGAACCTTTCCAAAGGGAAAATGAAGGAAGTTCGCACTCCAACAAAGAAGAGATACTTCATCCCACTCTATCATCTAAGGTGAAATGCTCGAATAAATAAGACATAAACAAGATGATAGAGGAGCAAGAATCCCGACTTGCTAAATACTTCGAGGGTCTTGCTAGAGTCAACCCCCTTGTCCGAGAATACTTGGACAAATCGGACAAGGGTGAGGCCAACAAGGATGGAGAAGACATAACCTCCAAGGATGAAGATGCACTTCATCCTTCATCGCGACCTACACCCAAAGAGGCGGAGAATAAAGGGTAAACTTATATACGAGAGGATCCTAAGTTTTCTCTTCAACCCTTCTTCATTGAACAAGAAGAGTTATGTAAGAGATTGAAAGAAAATAGGAGGGATCTCAAGCAACTTGGTTTGAGATCCGATAAAGATCACCTCTTGGATGCAAGTGCTAAGGACAAAAAGGAGGTGGAAGAAGAAGAAGAATTCTCCACGGTGGCCGAGCAAGCATACACCGAGATCAACTTCATTAAGTACTTGCTTGGGGAAACAACATTACACATGATCAACAACGAGAAGTTAGCATCGAAGTGAGCTTCGATGTGGAGAAAAAAGAATGCAAAGAAGAGGAGAAGCTAGGCAGTCGACATGGAGGAGATTCTTCACAAGAGAGAGAGGAGGTTGAAGACGCAATTGGAGTCCGGGCAATGGACAAGGTTGATGTGGATGAAGCCTCCACAAGTTACACGTGCTTCTCAAGCTTTCCGCCCGAACTTGATACACTTTTAGAGAATGACCCATTTGCGGATTCTCTTTGCCAAGCCAAGGCTACACCATCAACAATCCCTCTTGGTGGATTCAAAAAATGGTAAATCAAGATTGCATTACATGGTATGGGGCAAAGAGAAGAAAGAAGAAGAGGTCTCATGGGTGGAGACACAATTCTTACCAAGTCCACGGGTCATTCACACCATTTGAAGCATCGAAAGCTCGGGACTTGAGATACCACCTCGCCGACGAGAGCCTCAACTTCAAGGAGGTCTTTAGCTGGACTGAGTACTTGAAGACAACGGTCCGGTGAAACGACCTAAAAGACACGCTAGTTGGGAGGCAACCCAACATCGGTGTGAATTTTATTTTACTTTACCTTTCAATAAAGAACTTGAATTTTTGAATGTTGTTTTTAGGTTAGTTTGTAGTTTAAGTAGTGGTGAATGACCATACCTTAGTTAAGAATGAGTTCTAATGGACTAAGGTGAAGGGCAGACGATGAAATGATAATATGTTGTTGCGTGTTGCATGCTTATGAATGAATGTATGTGGTTTGGAGGCGCTGGTGGGTATGAATTGCATAGTTCTAATTGTTTTAATTGTCGCCCACCAAGTGTTCGATGAAATACCCAAACCACATGATTTGTGATTTTAATGATTTGATGCATGCCAAATGAACTTTAATGCTTATGTTAAGCCCCTAGAATCATGTTTGAGGGCTAGTTTCAAATTTTGATCGATTGGTATAAGTTGTATGTCCCCTTTGCTCAACCAAGGTTACCACTTTGATATGATTTTTGAGCAATCGATCCATACCCCTATTTTGATCGTTTAGGTTGTTTATTGCCCTTGTCCATGACATTAAACCCCCTAGATTGACATGTTGTCAATAGAACCAATAAAAAAAGATTGTTAACTACCTATTTCGACATTGTCTTCCACTTTGCACCCTTGTTTCACTTAGTAACCATCAAGTGTGGGGTGTATAAGATTGGATGATAGGGATGATGAGAAGTGTTCAATGCATTCTTTGATTATTGATGACATGTGTTTGGCTTGGATGGGTACAAATTGTTCTTGTGTGTGTAGGAACCTTTATGAGGGTTAATCCTTTGAAGAGGAGAGATTTCCAATGCTCCTCCGTCAGAAGTGCGACAAACTTCAAACTTCCAATCAATGGAGAAACTGGACCACTCAAAACTCTGCACAACAATTCGAGCTTCAAAGCACTCCTACACCATAAGCACTAACACCAACCACAACTGAAGTTTCACCTCGAGGTCGAGAGACCGAGTCCATAAGGCGATTTCTAAACTTTGGGAGGAGATCAATCCACCCACCCTACCCTTCGATCCCAGAATCACATCGACTAAGAATTTTGGTAACTTCGTTCCCCTATCCTTTTACGTTTCTCACATTGAGGACAATGTGTTCCTTAAGTGTGTGTGTGTGTGAGTGTGGGTGGGGGGCTTATTCATGAATGCTTGTGTGGAATGTTGTTATTGATTATACTCTCTTACCCCATGAATGTTTAAAAGCTTGATCGAGAGAGTGTGTTCTTTTAGAGTGATTGTGGATGAAGATTTAGCATGTTTTAACACTTGGATATGACCAAAAAGAAACCACTTGGAGCCTTGTATGTATGCCCAATTTTTTTTCAAATTTGAGGGCTCCAAGTTGGCCCCTTTTGCATTCTTCCTATTCAATGTGCTTTGAATAGCTAGATAATCATGATGTTATGCATGATAGGGAGGATAGTGTAGCGCTACGGAGGATGTTGAGAGTAAGGAATTTAGCCAATGATTTCCTCCTTGAATGTGTTGATATTTTCCACTATCTAGGTTATGACATGTGTGCGAGATTCTCTACTAACATGTGCTCAATTTTGAAAAACCTTTTGAAAAGAAGAGAGGTTCTCATTTGAGAGGCAACCGAGCATAACGTTTGAGTTAAGCCGTCAAAGGGATTTTCTCTTGGCTTAGAGTGCCCTTCGAGGATATTTTTGGGGTCCAGATAGCTTTATTGTGTCCCGACCATCTCTCACTATTTACCATCCCCCAAACACCTCCCCTCCTCAAGAATCGTATGGCAAGGTACGAAGTACCTTTAAGCGATTCAAGAGACCTCAAGCTCTCATTTGTACCCAACATGTGTGGCAACCCAATGTCGAGTGTAGGCTGGGAAGTGGTGCTCGGGCTAAGACAAACCCGCCCATCAACTTCCCCACATGTGACCTTGATAGGGAAGGCAATGATTCATCCGCTCTTGGTCATGGGAGAGATGCTTTCTTGCAAAAAGTTTGGTGCAATGTGCGTCAATGTTGAAAAAGGAGACTGTCGCAACCGTCCCTACGGGATCAGGGTCGCGTTCGCTCTTACTTGGAGTGAATCGAACAATCTTCGGTCGGCTCTAACCTTCGGGTCAGAACCGAGGCTTGGTCTGCGATTTAGATATCTAGGTTCGGGAGTATGGTTACTTGTGGGGAAGTTAAGCAACACCACCACAAAGCCCTAAATCGGTACTACTTAAGTTGATAAGTTTTATACGAATTGGGTGTATTTTAATTGTAATTGGGTATTTTTAAGATCCCACTAGATCGTTAATATATAGCTAGTTTATTAGTTATTATTTAACTAAACGTCCACTGACATATATATTTTAACGATAAGTTTAATTTAGTATTTTTAGGGTCCCACTGGACCACTAAAATTATATCGTATTAGCTGTCATTTAATAATACGCCCACTAACGTAAAAATTGAAGATAAAATTGATTAGTTAGTTGGACTCGAACCTTATCGGTTGCCTACGTACCCGTTAGACGGGATCAAAGTCCACGTAGTTCGTTAGGAATTTTTATCGTTTTAATTATAACTTTTACTACGTTCCACTGAACTTAATTCTCGTATTAAGGATTTTGTCAATAAAATTTGAATAGGTTATTACGAGGTTGTTAAGAGAAACATAAGAATTTTAGTTGTTAGGAAGATATTCGATGTATTAGAAAAGAAACAAGATTAACTTAATCCGCATTCTAAATTTCGTATTAAGTATGTTAAATAATAAAATAAAGCGGAATGATTAGATTTATGCATGATGGGCCAGCAACCCAACTAGTTGATTTGCCAGTCATAGAGCGCGTTCGTTTCCAAGAATGGGGGTTCGAAACTCGCTAACTACAATTTTTTGTGATTTTTCGTTTTAGTGTAGAGAAGGGGGAAGGTCAATTTCATAACTTCTAAAAAACATGGTGGCAGGGCCACGTAAATTCCAGGAAACCCTAGGGGTAATTTTGTCGTTTTAAAATTTGAGGTATATAAGTGTCAAACGAAACCCTAATCGGCTAATCCATTCACCAAATGGCGGACGCTATCTCTCTCTCCTTTCGGCTCTTCTCTCTTCTTCCCCATCTCTGTTCTTCCGCCAGCAAAAGAAAACACCACAACCACTCTCCTCTCACCTCTTTCTCTTCTCTCTACCTCCTCTGAGATGAGAAGAAAGAACCAAAAAAAAAACTCTTCCCCTGAAATGCAAACAAATACCACGAAACAAAACCCCTCTTTCTCTCCTCGATTCTAGAAAACGACGAAAAAAACCCGGAGGACAATCAGCGGCGGCGGCGGTGATGAGGCATACTCTGACGGCAGTGGCGACGTCGACTAGGAAGGAATTCGAATGTTTGTTATTTTATATTGTCTTTGCATGCCGATTTTTAGCGCTATTCGTTTGTTTTAGTTAAGATTCTAATGTGGATTTTATTTTGGATTTTCTATTGATTGGTCCAGACGGAGGGAGAACAGATGGTTCGCCGGTCCTGGGTTCCGCCGACAGCTATAGAAACCAAGGAGGACTCGGCGGCGACAATTGCAGCAAGGGTAAGGGGTCGACTCCTCTAGGTTTGCATGTCAGGATCTTTTGAGTTTTCATTTGATTTTAGTTCAAAAACTGGGTTCTTATTTTTTTATTCTATGTTTGGATTTGCGCGAGGGGTAGAGGACGAGAGGGAAAGCGGGTGGCGTCGCCGCCGTCTCTCTGCCTGTCGGCGGCGGACACAACATGAGAAACGACGATAAGAGTGGATAGATATGGTAAGATTTTCTTGTATTTACTTTGGTTTACTACCAATTTTAATTGATTCTGACCTCAACCTTTGTTTTGCTCAGGTTTTTGAATTTGACAGATCTAGGTAAGGTTTCTAAACTCAGCGTGGTATGACTAGGGATCTGAAACTAAAACAAGAAAAGGATTATGTTGCGGTTAGAATTGGTTTACAGATCTATGGATTGGAATTATGTTTTGTATGTTTTGATGGATGGTTTTAGATGCAAATCTTGATATGTTGGAATTTGCTAAAAAAAAGTATTTGTAATGGGTAAGTAATTAAGTTGTCCTAAAAATTGCTAATTTTGGTAATTATAAATCACTGCCTCAGCCCGTGATTTTGCTAGACTAGGTACCTTAAATCATTGCTACTGCTTAAGATTTTGTTGTGGATGTTGAAATCTGAAATTTATTTTGTGCAGGTAATTTTCGTTAGGTATGGATATAGGTTGATCCATGGAATTCTAAAAGTGGCTATTGGGGAAAAAAAATTGTGCTATTTAGTTGTACTTTGATTTGCACATATATATGTATGGCTACGAATGAGTGGAATCTAAACACGGCAAAAAATTGAAACAAAACATTCAACTTCACTCATAGTTAAGTTAATCAGCCTAATAGTAATAGAATAGGCAAAGCTGGTAATACGCCGGAAAAAAACTTTAATGAAAGAGCTTAATCATACTGATATGATCATATCTTTGTAAATGGGGTGCTTGAATCTAAAGAGGGTTGTAAAGTAAACGAAACGATTAAGTGTAATCGGAAAGTAGATGTATAAAACTGTATGGTGATAAATTAATGAGACCAGTTCTTATTTAGAAAGTGGGAGAATATAAGCACCAACCTGATTGGACAACAATGGTTTCTCTTCCTTCAATCTTATAAATCTTCAGCTTCGATCTCACAAGTCTCCCCTCTGAACTTTCGCCTATGAGCAAGAATTGAAAACAAGAAAGTTTTTATCTCAAATTCTATTTCTGTAGAGTGTTTTTGTTGGTTCCTCCCATCCATCCCGTCAACAAAGAGCCCAAAGAGCTCACTTATAGCAAAATGAAGCGACACGTGTCACTTGGTCGTTGCCCGATTTTGAGGCTGTCTCTGCAAAATTACTGTCCTTCCTTGAAAGTCAAAGTCGGTTGTAGATAAGGTAGGCAGCGACGGGTTTTGGATAAGGTTGGGTCAAGTTGGGCCTGTTGGGTTGGGCGTGCTTTTGTGGCCTGGGCTTGATCTATTTGTGTTGAACTGACTAGGTTTCTCGTTTGTTGCAGGTTCATGGTTTTTTCTTGTCCTAGATGTATCAAAAGGCCCAATGACTTTGAATTTAATAAGTTCACCTTGATCTGATTGGTGCCCCAAACTTTGTAGAGTTCGCGTTTGTCCTTGTAATTAATTCTAATCTTTGCTTTATATAGAGGTCATTACTCAACTTGTACAATGTATCAACTTTGAGAATAGAGCTTATTTTGACACGCTATTACACAACACCAAACTATGACCAAGTATAATTGCAGCCCGTAAATGTAGAATAGTGGTAGGTTTAATTTATCAACACGGGGTCTAGATCTACTGCCTACTCCGTGAACTTCTATTATCTAGCGGTTAGGGGTGATAGCGGTTCGGTTTCGGTTTTAACCGAACCGCACCATCAGTTAGCCGAGACCGAGAATCACCCAACACTGCCAACCGAAGCCAACACCGAAGGGGTTCTCGGTTAACCGCCAACCGCCACCATTGGTTTCGGCTTTTGGTTGCGGTTTGTCAAGACCGACCCACAGCAATTTTGAAGCAGCGGCAGGGGAAGAAGAGAGAGGCATCGGAGGCGGAAAATCCCAAGCTGGGTCTCTCTCAAATCGAGGTAGATGGAGGGAGAAAGCGTCGAGAGGAGGGGAGACTAGAGAGGGAGGAAGGACAGTGGCAGCGGCAGGGCAACGACGATTGGAGAAGGCAGGGTGGGTCGGGATCTCGTTGTTGACCGCCGAGGATGAGGAAGGCAAGGCGGCGACCATCGAGGAACATGCAAGGGAAGCGGAGATGGCAACGAGGTGGGTGCATCTGCTTACGCTGACTCCTTTAGCAGCAGCGAGCCGACGACCTCTTTCGACAAGGAAGGAGTGGGCGAAGTCAGACGGGGGCGATTGACGCGGAGAAGTCGATGGTGAGTGGCGATTGAGGATGGTGGTGGCTGCCGAGGAACGTCGGTAGAGAACGGAGATTGAGGATGGTGGTGGGCTGGTGGCTGCCGATTGGGAAAGGGTAGAGAGGGGCGAGCCAAGAGGAGAGGGAGATATTGAAGGAGATAGGGTCGGTGACGCTTATCAGGTTGGGGCGCTAGGTTAGAAGGTTGAGAATCGAGAAGAAGTTGGTGTTCTTCCATCTCTGGATCGACAAAAATTGAGATAAGGAGGTTGAATTGGGATTTAATTATTTAGGAATTAGGGATTTATGAGGGCAACAGTGGAGAAAGGTGGGAATTTGGAAAGGAAGGAAGAGGAGAGAGCGGCGGGAGGAGAGGGAGTGATTCACATGGCCGACATATTGGTCTTCCACTCTTCCTCTTCTTCGTCATTCTCATCGGCGTTCCCAGTGGAGAGGTCCGGCGGTTAGCAGCGGTGCACCGAGTTTTTCTCGATTAGCAACCGGCAACCGTCGGTTACAGATATTCCCCGAAAAATGGCAACCGACGCCGACATCGAACCTATTATAGTCGGGTTTCGGTTATCCGATAAATCAACATTTTGGTTCAGTTGTCGGTTAAACCGAATAAGATTGGATTATCACCCCTACTAGCGGTACTAAGTGAGTATAGGTGAATTCAAACTAAACAGAAAGAAAGTAGTAAATTGTCTGGTTTCCCGAAGCAAGAGAAGAGTCACTCGGGAATGAGTCCCCCTAGCTCCTTAGTTAGGTCCAAGTTGTAATTTCCTTTGATTGATTTACTCTTGATTAAACTGCGGAAGATCTCACAGTAGCTTGGAATCTCTTAAGCTGACCAAGCCCTCTTAGACAGACTGACCGGCAGACGGCTAGTCTTTACCGGGAAAGAAAGCTAAGGCAATTAACACAGAATTCCACTACTGAAATTGAATTCCAGTACACAACATTGAATTGACTAACTCTCGTATAATCAATCCACTCCTATAAATTGAAGGAGCTTTAACAACCTAATCAGATTCTATCTATCTCAGGTTGTAGTGAAAATCAATAAAAGTTGATCAAGCTTCAATTGACTCAATAAACACACTTCAATTGATTATAATCAAGTAGTATCTCAAACCAAAAGTCATTACAATCAAGATCCCTAACACATGGAACTAGGTTCTTCAGACCCAAGTGAGAGAAAGGTCTACTCCATAGAGAGAGAGAGAGAGAGAGAGGAAAACAGAAATCAAAACAATCATAGTCATAAGGATGGAAATAATCTGCTCTGGGATGATAATCTTCATTCCAAGGATGAAATCCAAGCTTGATTGATGAAACCTAGCTCCAGAATCAATCCTAGGGTTTGTTCTTTGCACTTTCTCTCTCTAGAACTTTGTTTTTTCTCCAAAAAGTCGATTCCCCCTCTCCAAAACCAGAAACTTGATTTTTATGCAGCTGCCCGTGATTGCACGGCCGTGCAATCCCATAGTCTGCCCATGCACCCCAAAACGTGCCGTTTCATTTAATTCCACCAGGGTGTGCACGGCCCGTGCAATGCGAGAGCTTGGTCGTGCAATCCTCTCGCAGAAATTAGCAAGACCACAATTTCATCGCCCACGGCCGTGCGAAAAATAGGGTCAGGTCGTGCAGCTTCTCGGTAAATCCTGCACGGCCACAAAGGCCACCATGCACGGCCGTGCGCTTTCCCGTCCTGGCCGTGCAACTCGTCTGATCTCCCTTCGCTCGTCCCGATTTTTTTCCAATCGACTCCAAACTCGTGTTCAAACCTTCATTCACGCATTAAGATATGAAATGTCATAAACAAGAACAACCTAGCGTAAAATCAACTTAAAACCCGAGATCCGAGCCTCAAACAGTATAAGAATTGCGGACAAAAACATGTGTAAATATCGCTTGTCCCATTTCCTTTATTATTTGTTTCTGTTTCTCTTGTTTTCTTTTGATGGGGTTCCAACTGCAGTTTTTATGTGCGGTCTGCCCTTATCAGGTGAGCAAGAGCAATTTCTGTACATCGGTCGCTCGCTAGAGTACTTCTTTCAACTCCTATTCCTCACTTCTTGTGGAGGGTCAATGAAATTAAGGGGAGAGGTCAGAAGCTCTATCCGTGCCCTTAAAAACAGATCCTCAAGTAGGCAAACCGTTCAACGGGTGGAATTTTTACTTGTACTTGAGACGACTTAGCTTCACCTTATAGGCCTACCCCACTAAGGATCACTAAAATCTCTTCCAAAACCCGATTTTGTGCAATGAACGGTGCCACACACTTTGGGCTTACCCCATGTTTTAGAAATTTCAAATTTTTGACATGGAGGACCAACTGCTTTTTCCGATACACGAGTCCACAACACAACATAAGGAGAGTCACCAATACCCCATGAATCAACGGTCCTAAATCCACTTGATAAGATCTCGAGCTCGTGAAAGCCTAGGTTCTTTTATCTAAGTTGCGCAACAATAACTCAAGCTCGGATAGCTCGAATAGATCTTCAAATAAACATAAAATTAAAGAGATATGTGTGATCGTTTGATTGATAAGAGTCTTGCTAAGCTCTTCTGGAATCTTCAACAGAAAAGCTCAAACAAGGGTCTTGCCCTATATATAGAATCCACCAATAGCTAAAAACAATGAACCATTAGCACGACGGCTCCATGGGAAAAAACATCTCGGTGTAAAATTCTTATTCAACAAAGTCTGCCTTCCTATAGGCAATTCCTTCTCTATTTATAGAGGTTACAAACAATGTATCTACCCTTATTTAAAGCTTAAGAATCCTCTCTATCAAAAAGGAATGCAAATACCAAAAGAGAAATGAAATAAA